TCTAAGAGTGTTATGAATTATTACAATTCATTGAATACATTATAATAACCTTACATTATAAGCTAAAGTATTATACTTAGATTATATAAGTATTATAATCTTAAAAACAGAGTGATATCTGTAATATAATTAAGCAAAAATATTTATTTTTAGTAGATAATTAATACAAAAGGCAAATTAATGTATATAATAATTAAAAACTCTATTTTTAGGGTTCTAATCTTAATAAATATATAGTACTAGTTTGTAATGTGTGTGTTATAGAAGTATAACAGATGTAAATAAAATACAAAGCAAAAGAAAATATTACAAGATCTTTTTAATTACAATTTTTTTAACTGTCTTGTAACTAATAGTTGCCCCCTTGAAATTGAATTCCTTAAGATAATATTAGCAAAGAAAGACAAAACATCTTATTAGAAGGTGTAGGGTATTGTCATTACCTGACTCATGAATACTACCCCTAATAATAATAATAATAATGTTAGTAGTAGAAAAAAGTAAAAAATATAAGAACTTACACAATTTTAGCTGTTTTAATACAGCTATAACAATCTGGGAGTGCTTCCCTAAGCACTCTCAGAATTTTATCAGTGCTAGCCTTACAGGACACACATTTTGTGTCCTTTGTTTTGTACATGTCTGGATTGGCCCAAAAAACAGAGGGGGGGCAGGTGTAGAGAGTGCTGTATAAGATAAGAAGTAAGTCTAGAGATCTCAGGTCAAATGCAAGTGAGGGAAGGGACTTACTGAAGGTAATTGTGAATGCAAGTTGTTAGGAGTGTGTGTGTGTGACTGTGAAGTAAAAGGAATGCAAGCATGTTATCAAAGTCAATGTTGAGCAAATTATTAACAGGGGATCAAGAGTTGTTACTACTTGTTACAGAGCCAAGTCTGAGTGAAAGTGTGTCTGGAGAGTGCTGTGTGAGGCTGTGAATGGTACTCAGCAAGTTTATCAAAGTCAACATTGAGCAGATTATTGACAGGGGATCAAGAGTCATTACTACTCATTACAGAGCTAAGTCTGAGTGAAAGTGTGTCTAGAGAGTACTGTGTAAGGCTGCAAATGGTACTCAGTGAGTTTATCAAAGTCAACATCAAGCAGATTATTGACAGGGGATTGAGAGTCATTGCTACTCATTACAGAGCCAAGCCCAGGTGAAAGTACATCTGGAGAGTACTGTGAGAGACAACAAAGTAAGCAAGATAATGAAGTAAGAGATATGAGTAGTGTGAACAGTCAGAAGACCTTGATAAAGCTGTTGAGTTATACTGTACTGCTTGCAAACTTCAACCTAATGGCCATCCTTATTGTTCTGAGTCTCTAAACAACCTTACAAATTCTGTATATGCTTGAATCAGGCAGCAGTAGTGTATTGAAGATTACCAACAGACATATGACACAGTAAATAGAGCATGGTGACAGTAATGAAAGAATCTGTAAAAACAGTAGTAACACATGTAGCACTCTCTATCCTGTGAACTGTGAGAAACTGTGTGATAGTAGTAAAGTTGAGGATTGCTCCAAAGAACACTACAGTTAGTGTAAACTGAGCTAAGATGGAGGCATAGATAGTACCTATTAAAAGAAGATTCATTTTGCTTACTGTAAAAGTTGGTAAGATGGTAACAAGGAATCAGCCTAGTAGAATACTCACAGTGTCATATTTGATTAGCAAAAACAGTTGTGTAGATGATCAACAGATCATCATTTGCTGTGTGTGACCACAAAATTACCTTACATGTAAATGGCACATCTAATATTTACTACAGGTCTGCATAACTGTCTGATTTGCCTTCCTCATTGTTCTGTTCTTTACTTTCAAGATCCTCATCATTACTATTAGTCTCCTCCTCCTCTTCCAATACTTTACTATCTATCTTGTCATTGTTTTGTTCTTGTAGCATGTTATGTAGTAGGTAGCTATTTAAATGCTATGTACTTTTGTGTCTGATTCCTCTGCCTCAATAGTGTATAAACATGTCCCTATCAACAAATCTGTGGTAAATTGGACCAAAAATGACTCAGCATTAATATGTTCCAAGTTTGAAAGCCTCAACAACATGCTTACACGTTTACAAAGTAAAATTTGTAATCTTCATTCTTATCTTTGGGTTGGCAAGTAAGGGATGGAGGCAAGAGTGTCTGGACAGTACCCTTAGAGAATTGTAGGATTAGATGAGCACCTTAAAGAATAAGGTCTGGGTCAATGAATCCAAAGGTACTAGAATCTGTATGACAATAGAATTGTAATCAAGGGAGTTGTCTCTTAACAAACAAGCCATTCTCATTGACTTTCATCTAGCAAACCTAAGCAAAATTGAGCTGATTGAAGTTTTGGAAGTTAGAGTCAGCCCCTGGACCCATATAGCTGACCTCTGTATAAAAAAGTCTGATTATTTGAGTGTAAATGTAGGGATGTTCAGTGTTATCCAATAGTAACATAATATTAGCATGCATCTGTGGATTGAGTGAATCCTAATACGCCTTTCGGTCAAACAGCAGCGAGGACATTGTTCAATGCGGATCAACAGCGCCATCAGATGAAGTACAGATGGCCGAGCAGGGAAGAAATGAACATCGCGAGAAAGTCTTATAGCTTATATTAGCTTATAATGGTTCAAAATATGTAAATACTGTGAAAACTGTAAAATGCAAAATAATTGATCTCAATTTCTGAGAAACAGTATAAGGCATTATAAGATCCAAAAGGTTTGTCAATATTCAAAAGGTTTATTAGTATTTCAAGCCTAAGGAAAGCTTGCTGTTCTTTATAATAAGTAAAGACATTGTATACATTATAAGGCATAAAAGATTTGTTCACATTATAAAGGTACATAAAGTTTTTTATCCCTTGCAATAAGTAAAATGACTTATATTTGATCTCGAAAATGATGAGGAGTATATACTATAGGAAGGATGGTATTAATTATAATGTATGCAAATTAATATAACAGTCTAAAAGACTGTTCCAAACCAATATACATTTTTCTGCCTTATAATGTTGACAGAAGCCTTACTAAAGAATTGCAATGTATATACAAACTCTACTTATATTCATTTTACTTTTTCGCCCTTACATGCATTAATAATGATTCAAATTATTTATATTTTCGTGGCAATATTACAACGTTACTAAATACTAATTATAGTACTAACAGGTGCAGGAGTGAGAAGAAAAGTGGTGAAAGTAGAAAGCATACTGTATGAGTGTCAGGGCAAGAAATGAGACAAACGGCTGATCTTGTTAACACAAAGCAAGGGAAACGGTTACAAGACTTGCTAAATGAGGCAAGTAAGGTGAACATCAATGTGTAGAATTAGAAAGTGGAAAAACAAACCTAAACCTCATCCATGTGCATATTGTCTGGCAGGTGAGTGTCTTACGTTTGAGTAGCCAGTCCTTGACCCTGGCCAGCCAATCCTCCTGCTTGGGACTGTCCACACCCTTTGCAAGCCTTCCAAGCTCTCAAAATGGCTGCAATCAATGACTCCTTGTCCTCCTCAGGTTCAATAGTGAGCAATTCACCAGAGGAGCCGAAAACCTGCCTAGAAACCCAGTAGTTAGTTAATGTAGCTTTAAGTAAATTTAAAAATGTATAAAACATACCCATCCCACCAATTAAGTGTGTCCTGGACCTATAGAGACTTACAGTCTTTGAAAAACTCAAGAATAGTGTAATAAAACACTTTGAAATTAAAATTTTCATTGACCTTGCCAAAGGTTTCAAGTGTTGAAATAAAAAAGCATGCCTATCATATCAAAAGTATTGTCAGTGTTGCTAGATTATATTACTATCACAGCCTGAGTACTTACCTGGACACATATGTAGACAATCATCTCTAGGGTGACAGACTTCACACCTACAATCTCAGCATTATTTGCCTGCATTGTTTTACCTTTGCTACCAGGCTCAGCATCTGTAGAACTTGGGCTTGTAAAGATCAGCCAAAGGCACTACAAAAGAAGTATCAGTATTTGTAAAGAATAATAGGAGTGTACTTACTTTGACAAGAAAACAGCCTCAGAATAGGCCCTTGTCCATTACTTCTGGATTGTATGACCCTTCCTCATACAGGAATGCAGGGAATGACCTATGTGTGATTAGGTATTTTTTTGACTTTACATTGTCTTCAAAACTATACAGTAAGGATATGAGTAAGAGTGTTCATTTTTTGTTTGACTTCATCTGTTAGTCTGCATACCTTTCCTTACTACTGTGTGTATGCAGGAGTAGCATTGGTACAATCATCTGCAACAATTGTGGATAGTGTATACCTCTGCCTATCTTACTTGGTTGATTGTCAATCAGTGGTTCTGGCCAGCCTTCCTTGAGCACATGGTAGTGCCCCCTCTGTTTGAGTGTAGATGTGTTGTTACTACAACCTTGCTCTGCTTTCTTGTTCACCTAAAGTAAATAGAATAGATTAGTATTATTAGTGACAACAGAATACAGTATGTAATAATGAAAGTCTGATGACAGAGATGGAGAATGAATTCTGAGGGAATGAAGATAGATAGGGATAGTATACACACACATGTATTGGCTACAGAGTGGACATTGGCTGCAAAGTTATTTTGTCTGTCAACTGGAGTAGAACAGTAAGGAACATGATAGAATGGATAGGCACAACTTCATTGTGTTATACACATACCTCAACCTAAAGTGCCTTAGCCTCTGGACTAGAAAGCACTTCATAATAGGCCCTCTCATTGGAAAAGAGTGTAAGGACACTCTTATAAACCCTGAAGAGAAGGTCCTTCTCTTCTTCACAACTGACACAGAGTTGTCAGTAATTGCTAGAGGAGCAGAATATAATCAAACTTACACATTTGCAATAACTCTCTTACAAAGTTCCATGTCCTTAGTGTTATAGTTTGTGACTGTCACTTCTATTCTCAAATACATTTTGAGAGATTCAACAGCTATACCATAGTTCATAGCACCTAGAATGTTAACCCAAAGGTCAATGTTCTGCTTGATAGACTGTGAGAGCTGACATATTCGTTTGAGTGTGTCTCTGTACCTGTACATTATAAATGTTATAAGTGAATGTAATAGTACATAAAAACAATAAGATGACTCACTTGATTTGCTTTGAACAGCCAGATTTTGTTACAAGGCTCCTCTCCTCAAGTGTTTACTGTTTTGAAGGCAGTAGGACACTTGGCAGAGAAGGAACCTTACTCAGGTCAAGGCTTGGTGCTCATCCTTAGTTGAGAGGGGGTAGGGAGGACAACCTGAGTTTGTATGAGTGAAAACAAACTAGCATATTGAGTAACTTGAGAGGAAGATGGATTGAGACAAGAGAACAAGGACTGAGAGTGTTAGAGATAGTATGAGGGTAAGTCAGCAAAGTCTAGCAAGTTATTAAAAGTGATTCAAGGAACAGTACTAACTAGGATACTACTAACAAGTAGTAATATTAATACTTTCTGTGTTAAAGATGGAAAGAGGATGAAAGGAGTGAGTGAGTGAGGACAAGGAAGTAAGGCAACTGTGACTGAGAGTAAGAGCCTGAGAGTGTTGACAATAAGAGCTCTTATAGGGGGGGGGGAAGGACTTATCTAGCAAAAATATGCTAGGAAAAGCAGGTGTATCCAAAATGAGAGGATTTGATATATCTAAAATAAGAAGTACACAGTCACTTGGCTGTCAGTGCTCTGTATACACTGTACATAGCCTTACACATGTAAAATACTTAGCTTGGATGTGTGTAAATTCAGTGTTTCAGCTGTATATTTAGTAATGTTTAATAAATGCATAAATTGACTAGCTTGAAATCATTAATATTAGTCTACATCCAAGCCAGGGGTCAAATATTGGCTAAGCTGCTAAGGAACTTCAAGTTAGCTTTATGTACAGAATTGAAGGCATCTTTCATGACATATAGTAGGCTGTAGCTATAATAATGGACTTTGTACAGCTTGAATACAGAACCTACTTACTATTAAAGTTAACATATAGGTGGATCTGATACTACTCAGCAATCAAGAAAATGCTTGCCATTTTCCTTCTAGTCTAGTAGTGCTTCTCAATTTACTTGTACTAAGATACTTGCACTTTAGTATGGAGGACAGTACTATTGTTGTAGGACTATAGTGTACCTTAATACTTACTATATAGAGTATATGTCTGTACAAGTCTTAGGAAGAGGTCTGACCTACTTCTCAGACTTGTGCTGAGAGTGGAAAATGATGATCACTCACTTAAAGCAAATGCAAATTATTAAAAAGACAGAGATGAACCATACAAAGTAATAAACAATGTCTAGTAGTGTTACAAATAGTGATTACTATGATTTGTACAGCTTGTGCAAGTCTTCTTACTACTTTCCAGAGTACTCTCAGGCTGGTACAGTCTCAGACTTGTGCTACAACCTGTGTGTAAGGTAGTAAGGGAAGTAAATTGAGAAGGGCTGATATGAGCTTCAATATTCTTCTACAGTTTGCTGTATAGGCACATATACTGTCACAGTAAGCATATCTGTAAATTACACTACTGTGAGGGAGCACTAACAGTAGTAGTACATATTACTGTATCTAAATCTCAGTCCTAGTCAGTAAAGATCACCAATATTGATCTATCTTGTTGTGAACCTCTGTATGTCAGATACTAGCAAAGCAGACATTCAAAGACATATGTCAGACTAGACTGTGCTTCTCTAACTCTTTAAGATGCCTTCCTTTGTTTGTGAGGCTTGTGGTGAGGTCTTTAAGAAGAAGAATGTATGAGCAATCTATTACAATTATTGTGTTGATACAAGTAGTAGTCTGAACTCTCTAAAACACATTAGAGAGTCAAATAACAAAGTGAAAAAGAGAATAAGGTTAGGTATGTGTGATAGTATCTTAATTCTTGGGCAATGCTCACCATTTTGTGTAGCTGAGACCTAGGCATTCAAAGTGGAGAATAATACTCAGACTGTTCCAGCCCTATTTGACAAGCCTCTTAAGTTTCCTGAAGGAACTAAATGTAAGAAACAACTACTAAAGCAATTTACAGATCTTCTACCATCTACTTCAAACTTGTCTGTACTTCCTACTGTATCTCTTCCACACCTTCTTAAGTTCATACCATCTCAGCTTCCTTCTCTACTGTCTTGAGTCCCCTCTCTGACTCAAGCAACTCTAGAAATTGTGTAAGGAACAAGAAGGAGGCTCTTTTTGTCTGAGCCAAACAAATACAAGTTGCTTCAAGAGTACCCAGATTTGCCAGATGACTTCCCTGACAAGATGCTCAACCTTAAGGACTTATGCAACTTACCTAGACTTTCTACAGGTGATGCTCTGACTCAAACGTCCTTACTCCCCAAACTTATCACTAATAAATATGTGCTGTTCAATAATGTAGCAACTTACCTTTTAACAAGCTGGGCAAATTACAAAGTGAAAGAAAAGACAAATAACAAGCTGGATGTCCTTGTGTACAAAGTCTTACTTTATCCAGACTTCAAGCTATTAGACTTAGTAGACTACAGAGTAAGGTGGGAGAATTCATGTATTGACAGTCCACACTACAATAATGATTCCCCTGAGTCTTCCCATTCTGATGACTGGCACAAAGGATTGGTTAAGATCAAGCTACCTTCTGAAGACAACAAGAAGTAGCCTAGGGGCAAAGAAAGAGCTCCTGAATTCAAAGTCAGGGGAATACACTACCAGCCCTTACTAACAACAATCTTTAAAGCCTTAGACAACCCTTGTTCTCCTCCTTTTCATTATATGCCTTACAGGGAGCTTTAGAGACTAACAGTATGTGTGGTATTAGAGCTGTATAGTAAACTTTCTACTAACCCTTAATTATCTCTCCTCTTCCTTAAGTACAACTCCCCTCCTGAACACATTTATAGTGAACTATATTGCTCAGATTATTGGTTGGAAGCCTACAAAGAAGTACAAAGCTTTCTAATACAAGACAGTACTGAAAACTTTGTACTTCCTCTTATTCTCTATTCAGACTCAATACATCTTGCAAATTTCGGTTCTACATCACTTTGGCTGATATACATGTACTTTAGAGGCTAATCTAAGTACATGTGTTATAAATCTTTGTAGACAGCTTGCCATCATCTAGCATATATTCCTTTAGTGAGTACATTCCTTCTATATTTCTACTGTTCTTTGTGATACATGACTTGACATACAGTATTTACATTGATAAAGCTCCCAGCATCAGTTCAAGATACATATAATAAGGTTTATGGACAATCTGCATCTTTGGAACTCCTCACTCACTTAAAGCACAAACTATTTCAAGCTGTCTTGTCCTATATCCTCTTACAGCCCGAAATTCTCAAGGCATACAGCTCTGGTATTCTATTTGACTGCTTGGATGGAAAATTACACAGGCTCTTCCCAAGGTTTGCTTTTTACTCAGTAGACTACCCTGAGAAGTATGTCTTGTATCTATTTGCTATCTTCTTGTTTGTATACACTACAATCTTCACCTCAATTTATACAAGGATAACTGAACATTGCTACAGGATACTCATTACTAGCTTACATGTTTTAGGCAAATTCTCAAGCCCTACAGATATTATGCTAACCAAATTCAACCATATACTTAGTACCAGAGCTGATCAACAAAGACAAACTTGCAAACGTATTAATGATACAGTACAGTAAGAGAAGATTTCTAGGGCACAACAGTGGATTTTTCAATTAGGGAAGCCTGTAGAATCCACCTGGATAAAAAATCTCCTTAAGGACAGATCCCTCATACCAGTTAATATAAGTGAACTGTTGCTATCCAGGCAATGCTCCTCATTACTCACTTATCTTATTTTTATAGAATGCTTTTTCTGTACTTTACAAGCACAGATTCAATTTCTTTAACTTATTTGTCCTAGACCCTATGTACAAATTTGAGCTAAGGGTATGGAAAGCAATATTTACCTACCTCTTACACATTCTTTTTGTGTAGGGAGGAGAGAGCATACCAATGCTTAATAGAAGGTAAGTATCTATGTTACAGCCTCATCAATTGCCTTACTGTTGTCTATTTAGATATATTCATTATATTTTAGGTATCACCATACTCCTACATTCAGAATGGATACAATCTGGCGATTTTCTGGAAATACATCTATAATGAAAAACATTACAGTCAGAGACTTCAAAGATATTCTACAGGTAAGTGCCTCCCTCAAGACTATTAATATATATGCACTACAATAGGATGTGTATTACCTAGTGTACTATACTGGCCTTCAAGGATTTACTGTCAAAGAAATATAATAAAGTGGTCCTTGACCTTTTATTCATCTTAGCAACCTAGTATACACTTACAAAGCTCTACATTCATACAGAGACTACAGTTCAGTTCCTTGAGGAGACAACAACATTGCTAGGATACCAGGTATAATGCTTCAAGAAGACTGTATGCTTGGCCTACAATACACACAAACTCTCAAAGGAGATTGCTGCTCAAGGACATTGTCAAGCTGCCCTACTCAATAAGGGTAAGGCAAAGGGACTGGACACAAAAACAATCAGATCTAGTGTGAAAACTAAAACACTCAACATTAATATACTAAAATTTTATTCTCTTAGTACATATGCTTCTGCCATTTGTTGATTTGGTATGACTGATTCATACAGTATACAAATTGTTAAGTGTCTACTTTACAATATGCTCTCCATACTTATCTTGATTGTGTATCTTCACAGGGGGAGTCTCAGCATAGGAGACTCAAACACATGTATGCTAGGACAAACAAGTAAGACACTACAAAGGCAGTTTCACAACTAGAGGGTAGGACTCACAAGATATGTGAGATTAATTCTTGTATTAGCCTTAATGATGGATCTGGGGATCCTATCAAGCTAAGGGATCTTGAAGTCCATTATAACATGGTAGCATTAAAAAAGGATTCTATCCATCTTTATTAGTGGCTTTCAAATAATAATTCTGACCCAGCTTTACAGGTGAGTACATTATCAGTCTCCTCTTTCTATTTTACATATACAAGTACTGATGCATTACACACTTGCTAGAATTTCCTACTGAGTCTTTGCAGGCACCTGCTTGGATGCATTCTCTCAAGACAGGAAGACAAGGCCTTCACCACAGACAAGCTATACAGTCTCTGTATAAAAAATGACAAGCTTTTCTGTCTCAAGGTGCTATATATCAATTACACAACCTACAATGTCAGGAGAGTCTAAGAATCACTCAGTAGTGATGAGAATTCTCCAGACAGAGTAGGTACATAAATGGGGGCGTCAGCTGAAGTCGTTCCTCACCCCCTTGAATCTGGATCAACAGGAATGAGCGCCGCGATACTGTCAGTAAACAACTCGCTCCTGTTCTCGCTAACAGGCACTACTTTATGTATGTGTTTGCGCATATCATAGCTTGAACCGGCTCAAATCAAATCAAAAGATCCGCAGGCCGCAATGACCTGTCTTTTAACCTATGATGCTAGTATGTAAATTGTGCATCTTTTCCATTAATAATCCTTACTTTGAGTCTAGTTCTGGGCTTTGTCGATGAAAGACGACTTATGTGGGTGAGTGGGATCACACTTAATCAGACATCAAAGCTAACACATGATATTCAAAGTCCAAACCTCTCAATTCAGGGAAAATATTGTATTTTCTTGTACGTAGCTTGTCTTTTTTTATTACAGTAAACTCACGCACACGAACGTCTAATTGTCCTATTTCTGCTTTTTTGCAGATTAAATACTTGACCGTAATATTCTCCGTGTGAGCCAGATCAATCTTTTTGTAACCCATACCTCTTATTCACGAAATCCACAGCTTTTCTGCTTCGGGTATATTTCTGCTTTCATGTCTATATTGTGTCCTATCAATGAGAATGACAATTGAACTAGTGTCGCTCTCTTCACCCTCCACAACTGTATGTATCATATGTCCATATTTCTATTTAGTATGTTATAACCTACTTTGATCCTTAGCTGTGCGTACTCAGTGTAGGTTGCCCAAGCGCACTGACACGAGTAGACATTACCCATCAAAAAATATAGCTGTACGGCTCTTGTTTTTCATTTCAGTGGAAATATTAATCCTGTTCTTGGAAGGCAACCTAGCAATTCGAACCCCTTGGATTTCGAGTGTTATTATAACAATTCTCACAGAAGGTAAGCCATTAATATGTGAAACATTGTTCAGATATTATTAACAGCACTTTCAGTCACTCTCCAACTTCGACTCTATGCACTTTACAAAGCTAGAAATAGTATGGCTATTGTCCTTGGAGTCTCCTTGATGGCGACCGTAGCATCAATGTTCGGTGTCGGAATTGCCATTATGGTCAATGAATCTGGTACCTTACTTGAAGGTCTGTGAGGCTTCTCACCGAGTTATTTGCGGACAATGTGTACTGATCTGCACTAGATACACATACAGGTTTACGACGTTGTGTTGCATTTGATTCTACTAATGACCACATTGGATACTGGATTCCTGCACTAATCAATGAAACATTCCTATTTGGACTTGCAGCGTACAAAGGCGTGGATATTTTCCGAGAGAAGAGGGAGCTCGGCATTATTAATCAGCTCGAGCTGTTCCTTGTTAAGGGTTCTGTCATTTATTTTTTCATGTAAGTTCATGTATTGACAAAAGGATTATCTTACCAATTACTTTGAACTAGAGTTTTTGCTGTACTCCTATTTACCGAAGTGCTGTGGCTAGTTGGTGGGGTATGAATATTGTCCATACTCATAAACCTGTTACAGTATGTGCTGATATTTACTCAGGCTAAATATGTCCCGTTTGCAACTGCAATTACTGCCCCTATTGCGAGTCTCATGAGCCAGCGCCTTCTTTTGGGTTTACGCGACAGATACGGCAGGGCGCATTCTAATTCATTCAGTACACTACCGGACTTCGTTGCTCTGCAAGGCCCAGAAGCTCGTATGAGCATGGGAACAGGTCCACGTATCAACACGCCTACTAACAGTGAGGCCGACTGGCTTATATCATTCAGCGAATAGGGTGAGCTACAGAATGATTTCGGACTGTTCTATCTCCGATCTGACATTGTCTCCTTGTACAATAGAGTGTATATCAAGGGTGTACTTTGCACATCTGCTGGTATCTCAGTCAGTCGATGTAAACAATATTAATGATTAGGCCATTGTTATAGTTATAAAGCTCATCACTACTACCATGTACTGTGTAGTCATCTAGTTTAATTATTTATATATTGTAATCTCGCAGATAAACAATCTCCTGAGATATCTGGAAAACGTACTTTAGAGAGCTAAGCATCTCGAAACCATGTCCCACTAAGGAGAATTGATGACTCACATTCTATATTCTTGTAGGTCTCCAATAGATTTAGATGAAATCAACACCAATAGGGTTCTCTTCATCATCTGTAGCTCTGGGCACAAGTTGTGTCCTAGACAGCTTGATATACTTCGGTGAAGATGAGACAGTTTTTTGTTCATCTCAATCCAACACATTTTAGCAACGTTCTAAAACCAAAGGCGGAACATAGAATGCATTTCAATACAAAGGTTAAGTAATGAATGAGTGTTATTGTCACCTTTTTTTTCAAACCCAGCAAGAAAGGGTGAAGGATCAGGTAAAATCATCCGTCAATGAGAACGATAGAGCAAGCAAGGGCAGACCAGGTTTCATTAAAATTATATTGCTATTCAAACTCTCTAAAACCAACTTCAATCCTTTATTTAGCTATCTAACTATTATTACACACTTTTTAATCATTGACTACCTCTTTATCATCCAAACCCACGCGTTGTCACTTCGAACTGGCCTTAGAATCACTTACGCGACGTGCCTCCCCAGCAAATTCTAACAAAGTTCGGACATCGCCGTTGTTGCGTCCATTCTCTGAAAGTTCGTTCTCAATGCGTGCGTACAGGCTTGCAAGGCCGCGATATGCATCTCCAGGTGTTCCGCCCTCTTGCTTATCCTCTGAATTCGCAGAACCGTTTGGAAGAGACGAGGATCCACGCGAGCCGATCCCTGAGTCGACGAATGCCGCGATCTCCTCCATTTCGCCAACCCACCGGTATGCTTTTGAAATCATCGGTGGTATTGACGCGCCCATACGTCTTAGTAAAATGGGCTGACTTTCGGAGAGCTCAGATAGTAGTGCAGAAGCCGTTTGTGGTGAAGCAGCATGCGCGGCTAGATAGTGTCGTCAGCATGCATTATCAGAGATTTGCTGAAAAATATACCTAGGATCATTGTCGAGAAGAGACCTATTTGCAAATATTAGCTTGCGAGATTTTTTAATTAAAACATATTCTTGACCTGTTGTGCCCTTCGTAATGCCCTAAAATAAAAAGGTCAAGGGGCATGCACCTTATGAACACAAACAAGCTTACAGCGTAAGACATCTTCAAAGCACTCGCGTCTCCCACCCCACCACCTTCATTACCTTCCTCACCCTTCAAAACACGTATTTTTAGTCCGAGCTCGTTGAAACGGTCAAATCCGTCAAGATGCTCCGTATCAGAAGCATCAGCGCTCGCGTAAATTGTTGGATCGTAACCGTCGCTCGGCGGACCGCCAATAATTCCTGCATCTAGAAATGCAATCCCAGTCCCGGAGAACAGTGCGGAGATGTTCTTCACGGTAGCAGGAGACACTGCATTACAATCGACAAATACCCGAGTCGGCGTTCCACCCGTAGTAGATCGAGACTGAGATCTTGCCGCGAGGAAGGACTTTGCGAAATTATGTGCTTCGCTTGGAGGTAAGACGCTCAGGACCCATTCCGCATTAGATGATATCTCAGAAAGAGGTAAGTCAAGCATCCCGGCCTTTCGAGCGCGATCGACTGTAGCTGGTGATCTTCCTGCCAATGTTGTGTACACTGTACATCGTCCTATTGAGACTAGTCGAGCGCCTAAAGCGGCACCCATTGCACCTGCAGCTACGATAGCAACTGTCGGCGGCATCTTGAGACGTTGCTTGAATGATTGAGATGGCGAACGAGAGTGCAGATAGCCTGCCGCATCGTGCGAAGAGTCAACGCAGAACTATCGCTTGATTCGCGCGATCGTCCAATTATTATCATGTCACGTGCTCTGCACGTCTCGGAGAATAGGACAATCCATCTGTCATTATCAGTGTTTGCGTGATTTTAGTCCCTTTGTTAGGTACTATACGTGTCAAGACCTGCCAGCGCAGATTCCGGAAAATAATGAGTAGAGCCACGAACTACTAGTGAAGTTTGAACTTGCCATATAGGTGGTGCCGCTAAAACAGGGAAAGCGCTAATCACTAGATTAAGAAAGTTACTTAAAGCAATTTATTCTCCTTAAGTACACTTTCCCAATAGCCAACAGTAACCCAAGCTAGTGCAATCATTATAAATAAGCTTCTCGGCAGAGCTTCTCCCTCCTTTCACCTTACCAGCAGCAATGATTTTCCTGCTCCATGGCAGTGAGGTCGCGCTAACGGATACCCATCATCATGCCCGTTGTACGTGCTTTGATACATCCTATCTTGAACTGGCTCATATCGGTACAAAAGATGCACAAGCTGTAGTAACTAGTCTTCTCGCCTATGATGCTAGTGAGTATCCTGTCCAGACTCATTGTCAACAAATGTTTATTTTGCTGTAGTCCTGAGCTTTGCTGACGAAGGCCGACTTGTGTGGGTGCGTGTAATTATACCTAATCAACCAGGAAAGTTAACGGCTGAGATTTGATAAATCCAAGCCTCTCAATTCAGGGAAAATACTGTATTTTCTCGTACGTAGCATCTTGTGTATGAAATATACATCTACCCATTGCATCTCTACTCTTGCTTAGACAAAATACTTGATTCTGATATTTTCTGTGTGAGCAGCACCATCTATTTGCTGCCTAGCCATCTTATCTGGCGAATCCACAGCTTTGCTGCATCAGGTGCATTTTCTGCTTTCATCAATATATTTTGTCTTATCAACAATAGTGATTGTTGAATTAGTGTCACTCTCAAGCACGGAATCTGCAATCGTATGTACTGCCTGTCTGAATTTTATTTAGTATATAATAACCTTAATCTGAACTACAGCTGTATGTACTCAGTATAATTTAGCTAAACAACGACACGACTGAACAATTTCAACCGGAAAAAATATAGTTGTATGGCTCTCAGTTCTCATTTTCTGTATACAATATCCATTTTGAAACTTTCTTGCTTGGAAGGTAACCTAGCAGTTTGCAGCCCTTGGCTCATGAGTATTATCATAACAACGCTCACGGAATGCAAGCCTTATATTACATGAAGTATTGACCAGATATTATTTACACCACTTGCAGTCACTCTTCAACTTCGGCTCTATGCACTATACAAAGCTAGAAAGAGTATAGCTGTTGTCCTTGGAGTCTCCCTAATGGCAACCATAATATCAATGTTTGCTGTAGAGATTTCCATTATGGCCAATGAATCCGGCAGTCTGGCCTTGGTTCGAGACAATAGTCTGTATGGCTCCTAAACAGGTTGTTTGTAGGCAACTTGTACTGATTAGCAGTGTACTAGATTCGCAGAGTCCTGTACTTTTCTGCATTGTATTTGATTCCAGCTATGACCATATTGGATTCTGGCTTCCTGCACTTGCCAATGAAGCCTTCCTATTCAGCCTTGCTATTTATAAGAGTAAAGAGATTTTCCAAGACAAGCGGGAACTCGGGTTTATTAACCAGCTCATACTGTTCCTCGTCAAGGGCTCTGTCATTTACTTTTTTATGTATGTTGTATGTATTGAAAAGTGGACAACATCACTGACCTTTTATGAATCAGAGTATTTGCAGCACTTCTTTTCACTGAAATACTGTGGCTAGCGGGTGGGATATGAATGTTGTCCACTCTTATAAATGTGTCACAGAAACTGACGGGTTGTGGTGACCTTTTTTGCTAGATCGTTTACATACCACCCGCAAGTGCAATTACTGCCCCTATTGCAAGTCTCATGAGCCAGAGCCTTCTTTTAGGCTTGCGCAACAGGTACAGAAGGGCAGAATCAAGTTCGTTTAGTACCCAGCCGTCTTTCGTAGCTATGCAAGGCCCAGAACCCCGTATTAGCCTTGGAACAGGACCACGTATTAACACGCCTATAAACAGTGAGGCCGACTGGCTTATATCATTCAGCGAATAGGGAAACCCATGGGGTGATTCCGAACCGTTCGACCCCCAATCTAACGTGTTCATCGTGGACAATAGCGTGTATATCATAAGTGTACTTTGCACATCTGTAGGCATGTCAAACCGTGATCTGAACAGTGGTTAAAATATCACCGGGCTTTATAACGCCCGCTATTAGTATTTTGTATCCTGTTTGATTGTAACCTTGCATATATATTGCTTTTCAGAGTTTTTATAAACGAAGTTTTAACATGCTGGGTATCTTGAAACTATGCCCTTTAGAGAGTTGATAAGTCCGGTTCAATAATTTTACAGGGTCCCAAAATAATTATAAGACATCAAAATCAATAAACTCTCCTTCAACATCTATAGCTCTGACAGCTAAACTGTGTCTCAGACAGTTCGATATGCATCGGCAAAGATGAAATAATTTTCTGTTCATCACTCCTTCCAATCCGACGCATCTTTAGCAACAGTCTGCAAGCTAGGATGGAATGAAGGACGCGTTCCAAGCTGAAAACGAAAGCATCAGTAAACTAATCTTAAAAGTTAATTTTGTTCAAAACCTTGCGAGAAGAGCTATGAGATCAGGCTAAAGAATGTGTTAATGAGAAAATGGTTGAGAAAGCAAGAACAGGACAAGACGTACTGGTGCGGTGAATACGACAATTATATTAACTAATGAAAGGCCTATAGACGAGTGCATATAAGGCGAGTAATATTAGAAGTCCGTACACAAAGGTACACACTTATCAGACAAACATAATAAAGAGATCCTAGAAATCCCGAGAATAAAGATCAGCTATATCAGATTACATGAGGATGCATCTATCCGCACCGTCTCTGTACACAGCATTATACAAGGCGGTTCTTCCGTGAAATTGATCTATTCTTTCAAATGAATGATTGCGTATCATGTAAATCATGCATTCTTACACGCCTGAATTGCTTTAATAGAAACAAGGAGAAGTGCACCTATAGTCATTAATATTGTGTTTCCGACAAGTTAGAGGGTGTTGTTTAGATGAAATACAAATACGCATACCGGCTTCGAGAACCAGAAGGAGAATCCAAGTTACAGAAAGCAAGGACGAATCCACACCTGTCAAAATGCAAGTGTTCGATGGCTGCGTAATCAGTTCATCTAGCAGAGTTAATAAGATTTGCTACTTAATCTAACACTGTAATAGTTCTGGGACGTACATTTAATTTTGCTGAGGAATACGCCTTCAACAACCAAGTTTGGGGTAATAGTTATGAAAGCCCAAAGCAAGAGCCCAATGCCCATATCTCGGTTTTTATTCCACAGTGCCCATGTACGCCAGAGCAGTACAACTTTAATTACGGTATCTGATCAGTAGCATTTACATTGCATATAGCAGAGTTCAGCTTACGTTCTGTGGCAGAGATTCCTATAAGGTACATCCCTTTGATTTCATCGTTATGAGTTAATCCTTTGATGAAACAATTACAGTATTTTCGTATACATACAGCCTGGGTATGCGAAACCGAATCTACATTGCTCAATGTTTTGTGGTGGTGCCCAATGATCTGTAAAGAAAGAGAATAAAGGGATTGTTGTATGCATGGGGCCACCATTACGTACGCCAGAGGACAACTGGCATATCTAGGAAGGGTCCATATCGGCTCGCAATGAACAGGATTTTCGTAAGCGACCATTCAGAGCACCATATAAGATCTACCTCCTGCTGGAGGTTGATTGAATACTCATATGCCTTTGCAACAATTCATTTAGTGTTAACCATAGACAACATGGAAAGGTATATCTCACCTGAATGCACGAGCTGGCAACTGGATGAATAGGTCATGAGAAATGAAGGTTCGGATTTATCACGGTAAATACGTGCGATCGAAACTCTGGATTCAATTTCTCGTTAGGAACTCATAAATAGACTCTGGGTAGTTAGACAACCTACCGTTGCGAGGCGATTATGCTGGACAGCGGTTACGAGAGAAGCAAGCTGATCGTTTGACATATCAGCTAGAAGGAAGGAAGCCAAATGAAGGCGAGTAAGTCGGTTTTTGCTTTATACATTATTGCTTGAATTACAGGAGTCAAGCAAGTGAGCGCTGATATTCTCCATTGCAATCATGGCGCTCATGGAGCTGTATATGGTCACACTCCGACGGCGTACAATTGCCTTTATATTTTACACATACTAGCACTGAGCTCATGGTATTTCTGAAATGAGAGCAGGAGCTGAGATATTCATCGTTTAGTTGTCGTGTGATGTAGGTATGACGCTCTCAGTTTGTTCATTCCCTCTCGGGAACTACCTCGGGTTTTACCGAAACCCAGATACTGCTCTCAGTCTTGTCCAGTATACACATAACACAACGCACGGGTATCAAATCAGTTTACTACCAGCCTTTCTGTGGGCTATCTACTCTCGTCACCATGTAGACTTAGATGAATATTGATATTAATGTCAAGAACTATAAAATACCGTGAAGATAGGCAATGGGAGTGAAGAGAAGGCTTTGTCCTCAGATTACAGATATTATTGATCTGAAAAATATTTTTTTCGGACAGCGTGTTTTATGTACAAGTGCCCGAGATAGTGGAAAGAAGGCCGTCATGCGTACAATAATTGTTTGAACAATAAATGCTTCCTGTCTGTCAAACGTATCAGTTTCCATAGAAGGAAGCGCCGATCATGCGCCATTACGACAAGCGCGACAACAGTCTCACAGCCCCCGTCGACTTCTGCCGTACCCACGGATGCTGCGCATGCCCACCACAATCAAGGCGGCGCGCCTCTCTTCTTTCTCCCTCCATCTCCTTGTCGTTCTTCTCCACCTCGATCATTGATAGCCCCCAGACGGCTTGGCTCTAACCATGTCGACTTCTTCAACGACCTCGACCACTGGGTCGACGAGCTCGGTTTCGAGTTCTTCGGATGCCGTGGCTTCATCGCCGGGGGCGATGACGGTCACAACCACTATGTTTACGCCCAGTACGACAGGCGGCCCGCCTACAAGACCTTCTGATCAGGGAGGAAATCAAGGAGGAGGAAATCAATTTGCATCTTCTGCGGCTTCAAACTTGTATCGTACGTTTCCTAATCGTATCTCTGGCATGACGTTTGTAACTCATCGCATGTCAAAGTATATACTTTCTTAGGTATATTATTTTAACAGAGGTCTGACATGCTAGGTAGTCTGATGACTCTGTCGAACCTCTAGCCACGCTTGTACTGTTACTTTTAGTCTCGGGTGCCGTCATAGTCCGCTCAATAATGATCCGAGTCAGAGCCCGCCGTGCAATCGAGGAATCTATCCGGAATGGAACATATGTTCCTCCACCACCTCGTCCAGGATCAACAAATGCACCAAAGCCAGTATTTTATGATGCGCATCTGAAAGAAAAGGACATGGATGTACTTACAGATGAGAAGAATGGGAAATGGGACGGCGTTGTGGTATGCATTCACTTTCCTCTACTACATTTCAGAAGATTAAGTATAAACTTATTTGGATGATTATTCAGCCGGTTGCCGCTGTTTTCGTTCCATCTACTTCTCAACCTACTTTACCGCGCCCTGCAACATCTCCTCAATCAACAACTCGCACGAATCGTACCGCAAGTCGGTTTCGTATTCTGAATCCATTCCGAACGGTGTACCTGCAAGATATCTTGGATGAACTCGCTTCACGAGACCTTCATGCGCGGATGGCCCTGCAACAACCACAGCAGCCCTCACAAGCCGAGCTCGCTGCAGCTGCTTTCGACGCCCCTTCGCCGCCGCCTCCACCTTCTTCTGGCGATGGTGGTAACACTGAACAGCCAGAGATAGATCCTCCCTCGGCTGTGCGTGTAGCGGTGCTCATAGCTATGCCCGACCCAGCCCATCCGACAAATATCAATTTACAACATGATGAGACACGCTCGCAATCGTCAGCAGCATCGGGATCAACTTCCTCGTCCAATAAAGGAAAGACGCCTGCTTCCTCTGAATCTGAAACGGAGACTACTACCCCTAAGCCCGATGAGGAACCTGAGATACCTTATGTTGAGTTCGGTATTGCAGACGTTCCGTTGAGTACACCTGCGAAATCGGTATTGTCGTCGCCATCTTCATCTTCTTCGCAGGTCCAGTCTACTGGCACTGACTAGTTCGGTTTGGCGGTTCGGGGGTACGAGTTATTGTTGTATTTTCTTGTGGACAGTTGTGTTTTTTTGTGGGTGTATAATGTAATATGCTGTATTGCTCTGTACCTACTTAGTTACGAGCTCGTATGCTTTATGAAAAGGTGGAAAAAATCACTCGTATATATATAAAATACATAATCTAATTTGGGCTTTCATTTTGACCTTCAGATAGCACAGATCATTGGTTCAAGGTCTAGCTCTAAATATTGTATTGTGAAATGCTTCGACTCGGGCAGAGGGAAGAATGTAGAGCCAACTAGGATGTGAGGTGTTGTATGTAGAACGCAAGACGTTAATATTAGTGAATCAAATGGTAGCAAGCTAAATGCATGAGATATTGGTCTGTATTGTGACGCCAAGTGGCAACGTAATCTGTATGCCGAAGTTGTTATGAACAGCAACAGGGAAATAAGCAGGGCAAGCAAAGAGAGCGGTTAAGTTAAAAAACGTAGCATTGCAGTTCGGGAAAATGCCGTCGGAAACTCGTATAGTTGCCGCCGTCCAAGATTTTTCCCTAGTGCTAATATTGATCACAATCACTGCATCAGCCAACAATGCTGTACAGAGAAAGACCAATTCTATTTCAAATTTTCAGCACCACAGTACTGGTAGTAGTCTGGTGAACTCTGACAGGACATTAGTCACATCAACTCTGCCCGTTAACATGCATCAAGTTCTACCTTCACTGCCCCCTTCAAGCGCTAACAGTTTTCTTCTAAGTAGACTCTCAGCACTGGATTGGATTAATCCCCGATGGGTACAGAATCGTGTCCGCGTGTAGTAAGCCTCTCTCAAAGGTCACATCTGTCTAGCCTAGTATATACTGCTGAACATTTGTGATGCACATAGCGGTGCACTAGTGGGCGAGCTTCTCGAGGCACACGAGGCCTGGATTTTGGGCACTGCATATGCTCCAGACGGAAATAGGATCGTGTTGGGCTCTGATGATGGAACACCGATGTTCATTGCTGGGCCCCTCTAAGGCTACATAGCACATTGGCACGATCAAGAGCGTTGTTTACTCTCTGATCGTGTCAGGCTCTTGTGACGGGACACTACAGTTCTAGGATGCACGAACCAGCGAACGTATTGGTGAGTCCTTCAGGTGTCATCTCGTGGATATTCAAGCCGATGCATGTTCTCCAGACAGGATCAAAACCATCTCTCGGCCTGATGACATTACTAGTACGGTGAATCTCGGACGCGCATCCTGGAAAGTCCATCAACGTGCCTCTTTGTACCTACGAAATCACTGCTTCGCCTGTCACATACTCTCCTGATGGGAACAGAGTTGCTTCTGGCTCTTGGAATGGAACAATACTAGTTCTGAACGGAAGCTCTTGTTTTCCCAAGATCAATCAGTTCGTGTGTCTTCTTGAGATTGTGATTAGCAATATCAATCTTTTCATTGTACACAGCCTTGTATCCATGTGCCCCAGTTGTCGTCCATGACAGACACTGCCCTCCTTGTGTTCTATTCTTGTGATTACATTTGATTCCTTCCAAATACGTCCTCTGCATTGTAATATTCATCAATCGAAGTCCTTTAGCCATTCGATCTGACAATGCCACAATACGTATTGTTCACACTGCCTCCTCAAGTCGCTCTCTCCTTACTCTTATCCACTGTCATCTCAAGTTTGAGACCTGGAAGAGTGTCTGTCCACCATGTCACTTGTTCGAAAGAAGCCCTCGAAGGAGCTCGTGGACGACGTTGCTCCTCAGTAAGCATTGCGATCATTGTGTGGATGTTTGTCCCATTCCCTTACTCATTTGATTGTACAGGGCAGTTCATGTTCGAAGTAATATGCTCTCACACTTCTCAAATTCCGCACGAGACTGAATTCTGTCTATCAACAGGCATCCAAGTCGACTACAAGGATGTCCAGAGGAAACGTCCTGTCACAGTCGAGATCAAGACCGACAGTGAAATGTTGCATCGATCGTGCCGATATGGACGGAACGAAGCCATCGATTGGAATCCAGATATGTCAGTACCAATTTACTATATCCACATGGAGTTCATATGTGCTGATGCATTTGCCAGACAAGTTGCGCTTGGAATTCAGCTTGTCATTGTTATCCGAGAATGTCGTCAACTTCATTCAGACAAGGAAATTGTAATTCCGATCATAATCACTGATGATCTAATCATGAAGCCAATTCTTGACATCGATGGTAAGCACTCAAGGTGATTTCCTTTTGCATACAGACTAAATCAGTGTCTAATAGAGCCCAATGGCAAGAAGATATCTTTGAGAATCTATTTTGAAGCAGCTGGACCGGTCAGAAATTCTCAGCAACTGAGCTTTGCTGCACATCTAATTGACTGATTATGATTGACAGTTTATCGATTTAATACGTCGCCTTGTGGAAACGTCTCAGAGCAAGTTAGGAAGCATGAAAGAGTTCATGAAGAATGTTGGGAAGGCATGCGAAGTCCTAAACTATATTGTCAACACCATGGAGCTTGCATCTGGTGTAAGATTCGAGTTTTGCTCCTTTCTGGCAACAAGTCTGTAACTTTCATCTTGTTAGACGCATCCCAGTGTTGGTACAGCAGTGTCAGCTGTGCGAGAACTTTATGAGGTGATACAATATTTATTGCGAAAAACAGCCGTTGACGCCTATCTTCTCTAGAAATGCAAGGATGTAAAGGAGTGTTATGAGGCAGCAGCATCTCTGATGGCGGACGTAGCGTCCTTCCTCCCCTTTGTCGAAGTTCCTCAAGCTCGGACAAGGTCTAACATTTCCAATGAGACTGCTGACAAAATCCTTGAGCTTTTCGAGAAAATTTCAAGAATGTTAATCGAGTATTCGGACAATACAGCGATAGGTAACTTCCTGTAACACGTTCATCTGTTTTTGTTCTGATACATTTCTCTGATAAGGAATCTTTTTACGGAGCCGGATTGATGATGTGGACGCTTACAAAGAGGAGCTCAGACGATTGAAGGAGACATTCGATTGGTGTATAAAGACCGAAGTGTGGAAAGCAGTCTTAACGACAGGTTATATTATCACCTATTACGATTGAAATCTCACTAACGCAACCTTAGAGAAGCACACTGAAGCACTTGTTCTTGACAAGCTACAACCAGTTATGCAAGCATTTTATGAGCGAGAGAAGACCTGTTCTGAAAGGACCAGAAAAGAGACTCTTCAGGCAATAGAAGATTGGTCGACATCCGACTTAAAACTGCTTTGGCTCCATGGACCTGGAGGTGCTGGAAAATCAGCCATCGCGCACACAGTCGCACAACGATTCCGCGAACAGAAGCGCCTCGCAGGCTGCTTCTTCTGCAACAAAAATGACGCGAATGCGAAACTTCGAGACGCAAAGAGCATCATGCCAACGATTGCAAGTCAATTTGCTTCATGGCATGCTGACTATCGGTCCATCGTTGTTACTATGCTTGAGGGCCAAGGAAACTTCGACCTGCATGCAGGGTTGCAAGACCAATTTGATCTCCTTGTGAAGCAGCCCATTGCTCTGTCGTCCGCTCATATGCCTCCGAAGCATAGGCCGCTGATCATCATTCTGGACGCACTTGATGAGTGCTGCGAATCTCAAAGCTCTCGACGTTACTTAGCTAAATTCGTCAAAGACATCGCCAATGTCGCACCATGGCTTAAGGTTTTCGTTAGTAGCAGGAAGCTTCCAGAGCTCGAAGACTGTTTCGGGGACAGTGATTTTAAACATATCGACATAAGCAATCCACTGGTCGATTTGGGGTACGATGTAGCGGCGTACGTGAAGTTTTGTTTGGGTAACAAGAAATGCTCCAACGACCATATCGACTTGCACGAGTTCAAAGCACACCAGCTCCTTGCTAGGATTAGGGCAGCATTTATGACCTTAGATCCAGGCGTGGACGTTGATTTTCTTGATTCAATGTCTGGCCAGGCCATTGTTGACAATCTTCTCCGCATTACTATGGAGAGTATTGTGGGGAGACGAGAGAGTCTAGTTTCTGATGAGGAGACAATGCCTGCAGCTCGAGCTGTGCTTTCACTTATAATCCGCACAGGTCCAGAATGGTCATTAACAGGAGACATGATCCTATTTTGCCTGCAAGACGATTTACCCAAATTCACAGCCCAGACTCTCAATACTGTTTTAGCTGCTGTCCGACCCTTACTGTACACAGGCAATAATGGCACAATTCAAACTTCCTTTCCGAAAGACATGGTCCGGGATTATGTGGATAATCAAGGCTCTTCCGGTCGCTTCTGGGTTGACCCGAGCGTGGCCCACATGAACTTGGCCCATGGATGCTTCCACGTCTTACATATGCAGCTTAAGTTCAATATATGCAGCCTGGAGTCGTTACATCTAAAAAACGAAGATGTTCCATACTTGAGCTCGGTAGTCGAGGCGAAGATTCCCGAGAGCCTCCGATACAGCAGTTTGTACTGGATGTACCATGTTTTGCAAGCGGAAAACGACCGAGAATTGCGAAGTCCTGTAGTAGAGCTGCTTTGCTCACCCAGGGCATTATTTTGGATTGAAGTCCTAGTCTTATTAGGCTCTCTCGAAAAGGCAAAGGGAATTCTATTACAGTGTATTGATCGTTTTAAGGTGAGATAACCTTGGCATGCTGTTTCATCGTTTCTCATCTTTAGACCGTCAGGAAGTAGACGAGATCGCTCATGCTGCGACCGAACTGCATGGCTTCATTTCTGCCTTTCACGACGCGATTGCTGTCAGCACGTCTCACCTGTACGTCTCTGCGTTGATGTGGTTCCAACCGGACTCCCTGGTAGTGCAATGCGCGAGTGACGCTTTCATGGGACGAAAGTCACCTCTGTCTGACGACCCTCCCCAGCACATACCTCTGGCGAATACCTCCAAGAGCACCTTGTTGAAGAAAGTCAACATCTCACGTCTCAAAGGAGACACAAGGAATATACGGGAGGCTAAATACACGCCAGACAGAAGAAAAATCGTCTCCTACTTGGATAACGGCATGCTGCAGATATGGGACACCAAAAGCGGAGAAGCCATCGGCGAGCCTTTTGAATATCACGTGCCTGCAATACATGCCATCGCCTACTCGCCCGATGGCAGCAGAATAGTGTTGGGCTATGACGATGGAAAACTGCGAATTTGGGATGCACATACTGGTTCACTCGTTATTGAGTCTCAGCAGCGTCACAGATACGGGATCAGCTCCATTGCATATTCACCCGATGGGACCAGAATCGTGTCTGGCTCTGATGACGAGACACTGAGAATGTGGGACGCACAGAGTGGCGCGTGCGTTGGTGAGCCTCTCACTTGTCACACTGACTGGGTGAATGCTGTCGCATACGCCCCAGACGGGCGTAGAATCGTGTCTGGCTCTTACGATGGAACGTTGCGGATCTGGGACGCACAGAACGGCGCACTAGTCGGCGGGTCTATCAGTGGACACAAGGACTCGATTTTTGCTGTTGCGTACGCTCCGGACGGCAGCAGGTTTGTGTCAGGCTCCAAGGACAATACTCTGCGAATATGGGATGTGCAGAGCGGTGAGCCTATCGGCGAGCCCCTCAAGGGTCACATCGACTGGGTCAGGAGCGTTGCTTACTCCCCGGACGGGACAAGGATTGTGTCTGGCTCCGATGACGGTACACTGCGGGTCTGGGACGCACGAAGCGGCACGCCGGTTGGTGAGCCTCTCAGCGGCCATAGTGGCTGGGTCTGGGGCGTTGCATACGCTCCAGACGGGAGCAGAATCGTCTCCGGGTCCCACAACAAGACGCTGCGAGTGTGGGACGCACATTCCGGAGAACCCATTGGCGAGCCTCTCAGCGGTCACGAGAGCTGGGTCGTGTCTGTCGCGTACTCTCCTGACGGGAACAGGATTGCTTCTGGATCTTGGGACGGAACGATACGAATTTGGGATGCTCACACTGGCGCTTGTATCAAGACGATGTTCCCTTATGAAAGTCGATGGGATCCCGATGCACAGTGCTTCTTAACAGTCGCCAGCAACCTCCGTACTTTTTTCATCGCACATACCACCAATCCATCCACTATCCCAGACGACGGCTGGGTTCGAACACTGGATGGCAGCCTATTTCTGTGGGTCCCTCTCGAACATCAACGCAGCATATGCCATACAGGCCAAGTCCGCATTCCGAACAACAAGGATGGAAAGGTCATGTACATGGACTGGACGAAGATTCCTCATGGGAAGGACTGGGCGAAGATCATGAGTGTTAAAGGATCGGATAAAGATTAGTTGATGTTGTTTCTGTCATTCAGATGGTATTTTTTTGGTCTTATTGCTTGTGCTTTCTCTGTGTTCATGAATCCGAATTGGTTTCATCATTTATGTAAACTTGTTTTACTCAGAAAAGATCATTTCAACGAGGTAATCCAACTTTGAACGATAAATTATTGTGAAGCGGGTCCCGAGGTGACTATATGCAAGACCTTTCGCCAACAAAGTCTCGGGGATACAAACAGCATTAGCAATGTCAGAGGTATTTGGCACACTAATGTCCACTGTGCATGGTGAAGGAAATACAAGAACGGGCGATGTGCCATGTGTAGGCGCAAATTTTTAGGGAAATGCAATGCATATTTACCTACATGAAAAAATGGAATTTACATTAACGCTTTTACGCTCGACAGCCACAATCGAGTCGAACCGTTATGCCTTCATTTACATGTTAATCCCTTGTATTTTGTCTTCGAAAGTGAGACTTGTTAGGACAGTAGAGAACTTTGGGACGATCGCGTTTTAGTTTGCATGCCTTTCAACCAACATTGCATCATTCGCTTTTCTACCCCAACTCGCAAGGCCTATTTTTTTAGATGTTCATCATAAAAGACCATTTACAACGAAAAGCCGGTATATCCTATTGAGATTAGATGAGTGAAGACGCGACATCGCCCATTTTGGTGATGATTTCCATTTTAATCCAGACCATTCTCCTAATTGAGCAGCAGCATATTTAAACCTTTCAGCCGCCGCTCGCATCACCTCAGTCTCATACCAACGAACTGAGGTGAGTATTATAGAACTGTTCTATGTCCCATATATTTCTTATTTACTCTCGTTATTATTTCATGTAGTATTCAACAGGTAAACTACATTAATACAAGGAGTCTCGTACCAACGAACTGAGTATTCAACATATCCAACAAAATTAGAACTGCATGCTAGACGGCGGAGGGTTTCCACCCATCCCCAAACATACGTCTCAAACTCGTAAGCATATCTACAGTCCTCGTCAACCAACAGGACTCTCTCCTCCTCGTCCACCATGCTTTCTTCCAAAAATCCGAATACAATGTTCGGTCTCATACTTCTCGTATTTTACCCCTTCATTCCGTGCTGGAAAGGATTGGAAGTAATACCATTGATTGTCGCGGTCATCCGGGTCGAACCTCCGGTGCCGAGGAACAGAATGTAGTGGGGCAGCAGAAGCATTAGAATTGCAATGCCATACAGAAATGAAGCATGAAGGTTGTAGGAGGAAGAGCTCGTTGATGAGCGTTTGACCTTTTCTGACAAAGGTGTGTTTGTGATCGTGATACGCGTTATAATACCTCTCCAGTTATTTCGCAACTTTGGAATGACCGCCGAAGATCGAGCCTGCGAATGTGCATTTAGGTGTATCATTACAAAGGTAAAATAGGGATACACACCTTCTGAGAATTCATCATCTACACTATGGGACCAAGACGCTCTATCCATAGTTGCATTTTGCAATCGGATAAACGTAACAGTTTGTCCGTTTTCATTCCGCTCAGGATTTCACTACCCTTCCACACCTTGTACAGATGTGCGAGATCAGGCCAAGACGAGTATACTTGTTTTTGCCTAAACAATCCCACATCGTACAAAACGTGTACTGGATATCATCTGCACTCGCCCTCCCGAGCGACATGTGTCCCTTTCTCGCAACGAGACTGTACAGAGCCGAGACAAGTGAGATCAGCTTTGCAGCCCATACAGTGTGTAGTTGTGGGCCGTGATGGCGGTCGTTGCGACCCCAAGAATGTATCTTCTCGTAAATCTCCTTGCAGCCTTGCAGAAGCATTATGCTAAACACAGTTTCGTATTGCACGTCAAAAAAACGATGGACAACCAGTATCGGTAGCACGAGCAGTCATCACTAATCAAATTGACTTTCGCACTTCCTAGAGCGAATAACGACGCCTGTATATTTCTGCGTATTCCAAGGTCTTAGTGTGGTATGGTTCGACTTGAACAGAGGAAAGAATACGGAGACAAGTGGAGTGTGAGGTACCGCATCATGTGTAGAATACGAGACATTAGACGATGAAAGTGGTGGAGGGCCGAATGCCATGCTGGGGAAAACGGAACTATTCCGCCTTGACGTCCAAGCAGCCAAAGTTGTTTTGTTGCAATACAGGCAGAGGACTAAGCAGGTCAAGCAACTTGAGCAGGAAAGGCACGGAAAGTACAGCACAGCATGCAATCAGTCAGAGCATGGACACCATTACAGAGATTGTGCAGAAAATGATTTCAGCACCTGTGACATTTGAGATGCCTTCTGAAAGGTATGAAAAAAGAAATCCAGCATACCTTCAAATCAGACCGCGTCGACCCTGTCTCTCTGCCTAGCCTTAGAGCAACATCTATCTCCTGTCAAACAAACACTCCTTGCAGACTAGATGTCACACATGTAATCTGGGATGTAGAAGGCGTGGCATGCGTCAGTGAGGCTCTCAGAGTCTTACAGGCCATGGTAGTACACTTCAGACAAGCAGAGACTTGTGTCCGGTTCTTATGGTGTAACGTTGCTTACTTAGGATGCGCAGAGTGCAACACTAGTCAGCGAGCCCCCCGGGCTGAG